ATTGCCCCCAACAATCTGGGTCCTCATTTTACCTACCTCGGAAGGATGGAAGGCTGAGTCAACCTTGAGCCGGTGAGATTTGAACCGCTGACCTGCTGAATACAGACAGCTAAAGTGGCCTGCAGTACTGCGCTCTAACTGCTGCGCCACCTCGACTTGATTAGAGTAATCACATTTATTATTGACCGGAAACCCCTTATGGACTTTTTGCTGAAAAAAGAAAATAAACGTGGTTTACCAGTTTGATGACGAGAAAGGGTAGATTATGAAAAGAAGGAAATCATATTGTGTCCTTTCAGAGAAACATGATGTAAATGCATTTATAATTGCTGTTAAGCAAATGCAAAGTTGCTTCTTTATCTTTCCCCTTTTTTCCTATTTTCTTTCTTACCTATTCACTATTTTCTCTATTTTCTTTCTTTCCTTAAACATATTTTTATTTCGTTAAAAATTCTTTAATAAAAACCAAAGTTTCCAATACTAGAAGACACATCTGTTCTTGCCCTCCTTTTTTCCAGGATGTAGGATAATTTTCCTTATTGGGCTAGCCCAGGAGTAGGCAACCTTGGCTCTTTTATGACTCATGGACTATGCTGGCTCAGGAATTCTGGGAGTTGAAGTCCATGAGTCATAAAAGAGCCAAGGTTGCTTACCCCTGGGCTAGGAGGAAAGCATTACTTTACTCTACTTTCTCCTGACTCCTTTCTTAATGTAAAAAAAGCCTAGTGAGAAAAGGTCTCTTCCATTATTTACTGTTGGTCTTCAACAGAAACATGAAAAACCAGGAAGGGTATAGACTGCAGAGAGGAAAATGCAGTGAAATTAAGAAAATTCATGCATTACACCATCTATTCAGAAGAATTCACCCCAAAGCATATTTGAAATGAACCTGAAAGCATGTTTTGAAAGCAACTTTCTTTTCTTAAATTGAAAGAATAATAATGATTGCTGAAATTTGTTTCTCCATTAGTTGGGCCACCTGAAGAGACTAGAAGCATTTGAAATGTGGATTTACAGGTGACTGTTACATATAAGCTGGGTTGACAAGATCAGAAATGAGGAGGTGATAAGCCGCCTGGGAAAGCCAAGGGAAATCATCAAAACAATTAAAAAATGAAAATTAGAATATTTCGGACATGTGATACGACACCCAGAAAAATACGGCATACTCCATTTAATCCTCCAGGGAAAGATTGAAGGCAAACGAGGTTCAGGCAGGAGAAGAACATCGTGGCTTCAAAATCTAAGGGGCTGGTTTGGACAAAATTCAGCAGCACTTTTTCCTGTGGCTGCTGATAAAAACAGGATCGCCAACAGGATCGCCAATGTCCAATAACGGATATGGCACAAGAAGAAGAATTAGTTGTCTCATTCTCTACTGTAAGGCCTCCTGGCTGGCTACGTCTGCTACTTATTTCACAGAGCATGGTTTTACTATCTAGTAAAATATCAAATTATAGGCATCTTCAAAACCTTAGAGCATTTATTAGGAACACCATCTCCAGGTGAAAACCTAACAACCTCATTTAGTGATGATGATGGCCTTTTGTAGCCAAATTAGCATCACCTGGAAGACTGCAGAGGATTCATTGCTTTATGCAACTACTTTATATTCATAAATCCTTTCTCCAATTGAACCAAAAAGCAGCTCCTTAGTCAATATTTGTGTGTGTGTGTGTGTTTTACCTCTGCACTCTTCCAATTAAAAGACTTCCCATAATGCAATCAATTAATCCATCCATTCAACTTCCTTGAAACTTGTTGGAGTCATACAACAAATTTAATCAAGTCAGTTGCAAACAGAAACTTATCAGTTGTGTTTTCATGTCATTTCATGCTTTGTTAGCTTTGCCCTGGGTTTTTTTTTTCATTGCTTTTGTATTTTTGTGTGTTTGTTTTGATTTGGCAGCCTGAACCCAGCCTCTCTTTGGTTACGTTTATGATTCAGTGAATTGTAACAATCCAGAAGTAGGTTAATGGGGTACTTAAGCTATGTTGTGTGAACAGAGCCATTCTGTCCTAGCTGTCTGAGGTCTTTCCCCCTTCTCTGCATGTTTATGAGAAAATGAATGATGTTTCTGACATAGACAAGAAGAGCGTGTAATAAAGAAATCAATTATTTGTAAGATTATCTTGGTTTGATTGTCCAATGCCCATAATGCATCAACTTCAGGAAGCAATCAATCAAGCTTCGGAGAAAAGCCAAGAAAGTTTAAAAGCACACCTCCATATGAGATGTGATATTTTTCAGAAGCACCACCTCCCCCAATTTGGTGAACCCCAGGTGTGTTCACAGCAACTCCCAGTATACTATCAAAGAGTATTACAGGAGTTAATGCAATATAGGAAATCAGGGCACCAGAATCAAGCAGATTGATTAATGGAAGGTTTTAATTAAGAGTTTAGCATGAACAAACACTAGGGTTAGCTGTTATTTAACTTGATGGACTCAGTGACATACTCAGATCCATACAGGGTTTGTTTGTTTTTTGGAAGAATGGGGCAAATTTCTATAGCAAGGTTGTGTAAATTGGCCATTTCTAAAAGAGGCTGGGCATAGTATAACACAAGGAAGCCTTGTGTCATTCAGAAGAGTTCTCCTTTTTTTCCGGCCAGTTCTCATTCAGTTTGATTGCTGGCCTTAGCTCCCCACATCTGTATCAAGTTGCATCTCCACACACTAATATCTTCAAGGGTCAATGCTCTTCTGATCCATAATCATTTATTGGATTAAATTTATGAGTTGTCCAACTCCAATGGAACTAATTTTCTAGGATGCCCAGTTTTGCCTGGCAGGTAGGATTGTAACAATTAAGAAACTCCCAAGAATCCGATAACTTGTAATTATTAGTTGAAGTAAAGCTAGGTAGCCCTCATGAAAGAATTCTAGCAACTGCGCTATTTCAAGAGCAAACTCTGTTTCCATATTCCATATTCAACTCCTTTGCCCTCTTTCTCTTCCCTACCCTACGTGAAGGAAGGACCAATTGCCATCTATCCCTGGTTTGTGAAATGGTCAGTTTTGCTGTCTTGGTGTTTTTCATTGGCTAGGTGAGATTAACACTCACACAAGTGGATGGGGACATTAGACTGCTACACACCTTTAGCATATGGAGAGTGAGTGGACACCAATTTTAAAAATCCCAGAATGGTAAATAAGGCTTTGCATCTTTTAACTTCAAAGCATCAGTATGAAGGCAGCATCATTCATTATTGGTTATCCTAGTGGAGACTGCTGAGGACTATAGTGCAAGTGTTTCTGGAAAGCAATAGGGACCTTTGCTGGTTGGTAAGTTGCCTTAATCATCTCAACAGACATCAGCTGGGGGCTCCACAGATAAGCAAGGTGGATCTGATTGATTTAGCAGGTGGGAGGGTGGGACACCACTAGGGAACATCAGGACTGTAAGCTCAATTGGGGAAAGATAAAAAAAAAATATCTTAAAGGTGAGGCACCTTTAATGCATGGATCTATAAAGCCACCACACTACTTTTGGCTGTGAATTTCTTTGGCTCAACAGCATGACAGGCAGAAATTCAACAGGTATCCTTTGTCCCCGAATGTGGGAAGGGGAAAGTCTTCCCATTTTGGAATTCTCACGTGCTAATCATACCATATTCCTCTGCTTCATTCATTTTTGCCCTCTCCTGGACTTGAATACCTGCTGTGCCCCACAAACATTCTCTTTCCATCTGACACTCCACTTTACAACAACCCCCGGCATATCTATGCCTTATTTGCAAACTTGCAGGGAACTCCAGCTTTGCCTTCCAGGAGGACACCTGGTTCCTAAGAAGCATAGCACACGTGCACTCATTACCCCAAGTTCACCCAAGATTACTTGTAAAGCTAGGAATAGAATAGAAATAAGAATAGAATAGAATACAACAGAACAGAACAAAATAGAATAGAAGTAAGAATAGAAATGAAATTAGAATAGAAATAAAATTGGAATGGAATGGAATGGAATAGAATAGAATAGAATAGAATAGAATAGAATAGAATAGAATAGAAATTAGAATAGAAATAAAATTGGAATGGAATAGAATGGAATAGGAATTAGAATAGAAATGAAATTGGAATGGAATGGAATAGAATAGAATAGAATAGAATAGAATAGAATAGAATAATGGAATGGAATGGAATGGAATGGAATAGAATAGAATAGAATAGAAATTAGAATAGAAATGAAATTGGAATGGAATGGAATAGAATAGAATAGAATAGAATAGAATATAAATTAGAATAGAAATAAAATTGGAATGGAATGGAATGGAATAGAATAGAATAGAATAGAATATAAATTAGAATAGAAATAAAATTGGAATGGAATAGAATAGAATAGGAATTAGAATAGAAATGAAATTGGAATGGAATGGAATAGAATAGAATAGAATAGAATAGAATAGAAATGAAATTGGAATGGAATGGAATAGAGTAGAATAGAATAGAATAGAAATTAGAATAGAAATGAAATTGGAATAGAATAGAATAGAATAGAATAGAATAGAATAGAATAGAATAGAATAGAATAGAATAGAATAGAATAGAATAGAACCTTGGAGGTCTTCTAGTCCAGCCAACCGCTCAAGCAGGTGAACCTATACCATTTAGAAAAAAAAAAAGTACAACGCACATTCATAGAACGCAGAAGGGTTGGAAGGGACCTTGAAGATCTTCTAGTCCAACCCCCTGCTTGAGCAGAAGACCGTATACCATTCCAGACTGGTTGTCCAGTCTCTTTTAGGTAAGTGACTGTCTAGCTTCTGCTTAAAAACCTCCAGTGATGGAGCGACCCCGGTTTCTGAAGGGCAGCTGTTCCACTGGTTAACCTGCCACTCGAAGGCAGGGAGAGCAGCGTGGGCACCTGCCGGGAAGAAAGGCAGCAAACGGAGCAAAACCCCCTAACCCTAAACTCATCCACTCGGCAAGTCAGCCTGTCTCCCTCCGGGCCCCGCCCTCTCCTTTCCTAGCCCCTCCCTAGGACTGCGAAGGGACCGCGACTCGGGAGCCCTTTCAGACGGTCGCGCCCATCGACTCTGGCGCTGTCCCTCCGGAGGAAAATGAGATTTCAGGGTCCCCAGAGCCGCGAAAGAACCCCAGGCAGAGAAGAACGGTGAGATCTTCGCCGAAGAACCGGGGTGAAGCAGCCTGTGTACCCCCGCTGTGCTTTCTCCTCCTTTCAAAGCTCGCGGGGAGCCCCATCATTCCAGCCTAGAAAGGTAAGCGCCCCGCTAGAGGATGCTTTGTGGACACGTGTTGGGAAGGCTCGGCCTCTCCGTTGACATACCCGGGCTAGGAATACATTTTGGGAACCTAGGACCCGAGCCTCGAGGGGAAAAGTGTTTTGAGATCGGGCTAAATTGTTTATGAATTTATTATTTGGTGGCTGGTCTTGATTGAAGAAGCTTTAAACGAAACGGATTTACCTGCGCAAGGCATTTGCTTTGTCGATGTGTATCTCCATTTGTTCATTCCTGCTTACAAATAACCTTCCAAGAATTTCTGAGATGGTGACAAGGCAGAGAAACCATCCTCACAACAGCCCTGCCGGGTAGGTTTAGGCTGAGGTGGAGAGAAGGAAAGGGAGGAAGAGAGAAGTAAAGAGAAAAGGATATCAAGCATTGGAGATCAGAGAGAGAGAGAAAAAACCAAACTGACAATTCCCAGCTGTGCAAAACAGACCCACATCGTGGGGTACCTTGGGATTCACAATGAATTTTGGGGGTTTGAGGCAGATGTTGGAAGCTGGGACAAATAATGCGGTACCCCTTATTAATGTCAACATTTTGTATTGAAAATGTTCTTCCTTATTAAGGAGAGTCATCAGGCCAGAATCTCACTGATCTGGGGTACTTCTGAAATAATCTTCCCACTGTGGCTTTCCATTTTTGTCACAGTCCCTCTCCCCTCCCCTAAATCCCACTGCTTTTTGAAAATAGTGTTGGGCACAAGTTGGAAATATATGTGAAAGGAATTGCAGGCAGGTGCCAACCATGTATCTTTGCTACCAGTATGGATTTATATATGCATCCATTCTGATGTGTATCAACTATGACAGTCTCTCCTTCCCCATGTACTGCAACTCACGTGTCTCCCTACATTTTTCAACCTTGAGGGTAGGAAATGTCTTCTGAATGCACATGACGGACATTCATAGATGCCCTGGAATAGGAACACATAGGTAAATATTAAACTGATGTTTGTTATATACAATTCTTGGGTGGGGCTATCTTAACTGTAGAAAGCAATTGCCTTCCTTTGGTATTTATTTTTTGCTGTTGATCTTGCACTGTCAAACACCAATGAAATGTTTCACATTTCACATGAACCATATCTTGGATTCATTTGTTTTGTTCCTGCCAAATACTAAGACACAATTTTTAATTAATGTCTGTTTACCATTTTTCCCATTCTATATCCAGGATACATAGAATAAGTAAGTCAGCATTCCCAGTCTGATAGACTGAGAATACAGTTTTTCCAGAATTTCAAGCCAGGTATTGGCCATGTGGACTGAGGATTCTGGAAACATCCATCCCAATACATAAAGCAAGAATGGGGTTGAGGAAAAGTGACTTTTGCTTTGGAAGGCAGCAAAGTTGGGAAAGATTGCTTTCCTGGTGTAATATATTTGGTCTTTGCCAAAGGACAGTTGTGGAAATGGATGTGAGTTGGATGCTTTTCATTTCTATCAGCTCACAGATGCTCCCCATTTGAGGGTAGCAAGAATGTTTTGGGAATGTTGGGGGTCTGGACTTTACCTGGCCCTGGTGAGGTGAAGAAAGGGTGAGGGAAGTAACCATAGATGGCAAGCTATTTTCCATAATGGCCTGAACAAATGCTATGTTGGGCAAGTGCAAGATAGTTAGATAGTGGCTTGTCATCCAGAGCTGGCAGAGGATTATGAGCAAGAATCAGTGTAAGATTCTTTGGCTGATGTGGTCCCAGCAAATACTTCCCATTCTCCTCAAATGATGCAGACCTTCTCCAGACTTAGTCCAAAAAATGTATGACTTCTTTTTTTTTCCAGTACAGGATGGGTTGCTCATAATCCTGGAACATATAAGAGTTTAAATTAATGGACTACTCCAGAGAATCCTCCCACAAAAGGGATTAATTCGGAATGGAAGCTTAGAAAACATAACTAAGCACCTTTTGGCATCTTAAAAACTAACAGACTTACTGTTGCATAAATGTCTAGGCATCACAGGCCACTTCATTTGATGCATGGGGTACAATCCTGAAAGAGCAACTTTATGTATACACAGTGGTTGGGGAAAAAAGGAGGGGGGGAAAGGGAGAGTTTCCAAATGGCCATTAGGACCTAAGTAGTCTAACACAGGCATTTATTAACTGGAGAGCTGGGATATTATATCAAATGCAAATGTAAACAAATGAATGCACTTGCATGATATATTTAACCCAGTACTTTATTAACTCATAGTCTTGGTTTGTCTGATGAAGACAGAAGTCAGCTTCTAGTTTAGTTCATTTGCTACTGGCTACAGCCCTGTTGTTTTCTTGGCACTATACAATGAACTCTAAACAAACCAAAGAGGGCAAAATGTGCTAAACCACAAAGGCTTATAAGAACTAACTTACATAGTCCGTTTGTGCAAACACAGCAACTAGAAATCGAACAGACCTTACTAAGCATATGCTGTGAGTTTAGCCATGAAGTTAAATCTCTTAATGATTTTTAACTTGACTAATTTCCTGGAAGCCTGTTTTTGTAATGCCTTCGTTCAAGGCCCTCCTGAGAATGGGGCTAGCTGAATCTCCCCCCCCCCTCGTTTTTGGATTCTGCTGTGTCTGCTGTCAGATTCAGATCTGCTCATTCTTTGCCACAGCTTTGTCCAACCGGAGCCCATTTCAAAGTGCTGACCTCAGCTCCCAGAATTCCCCAGCCAGCAAGAATCATGGCTGAGAATCTTGGGAGCTGAATTCCATTCACTGGAACAAAGTTTCTCAAACATCTTAAAGTTGTCAAGGTTGAGAAACACTGCGGGGGAAGATGTTGAGTTCATAGGAATTTGGACTATTGGTCTACTGTAAAGTGTAACAAATCTTGTATTAAAGGCATCTTTAGGTAAACTATAAGAAAGGTCTTAAAAGCAGCTGTCTGCAGCTAGGGCAATCCTATGTCCTATTTTGCAGAGGACGCTCCTCTAATTCCACACTCCAAGCCTGATGATGAGATTAAAAAGGATAAAGGAGAATGTCAATCTTCCAAGCTGCCCCTCCCCCCCAACAATTGACAACTTGAATAGAATAGAGCTGGAGGGATCCTTGGAGATCTTCTAGTCCAGCCCTCTGTTCAAGCAGGAGAACCTATACTGTTTCAGACAGGTGAATGTCTAGTCCAGTGGTGGCGAACCTATGGCATGCGTGCCAGAGGCTGCACTCAGAGCCCTCTCTGTTGGCACACACACCACCGCTGCCAGCAGCAGGTCCATCAGTTGGCCACTGCCGCCCGGAACAGGAGCCCCGCCTAGCACAAAAGGAGGCAAAGCAGCCGACTAGCAAGCTCGAGTAGAGGTCGAGGTCACCAACCATTGTCGATTGGTGGACTGGAAGAAAAGGGAGGGGAAAGCATTTTACTTGTGTGCATGCACACATGGGGCAGCGAGCACACATATGCTGCAAATGGGGCGGGGCTAGTGCTGCGTAATACTAGCCCTGCCCCGTTCTTGCATGGTGCAGCGCCTTGTATCTGCACCCTGTGGTGCGGCGGTGGCCGTTTTTGTGCCTTGCAGCACGGTAGACCATTTTTGCACCCCCGGTTTTTGCGTGCCAGAGGCAGCACTCAGAGGCGCCTCCCTGCCGTCTGGCACTTTGCGATAAATGGGTTTTGCGTTGCAGTTTGGGCACTTGGTCTCTAAAATGTTTGCCATTACTGGTCTAGTCTCTTCTTAAAAATCTCCAGTGATGGAGCGCCCATGATTTCTGGAGGTAAGCTGTTCCACTGGTTGATTGTCCTCACCGTCAGGAAGTTTCTCCTTAATTCCAGGTTGCTTCTCTCTTTGATCAGTTTCCAACCATTGTTTCTCGTCTTCCCCTCTGGTGCTCTGGTGAACAACTTGGCCCCCTCTGCCTTGTGGCAGCCCCTCAGATACTGGAACACTGCTGTCAGCTGAGCAGGTAGCAGGGTTTCTTCATTGAGTCTTCCCCATTATGGTGCAATGTACTGCATTTCTCTTCAAAAAGAGGGTAATGGCTAGATATGCACATATTTGTTATACAGGTAGTCCTCAACTTACAATAGCTCATTTAGTGATTGTTCAAAGTTACAACAGTCCTGAAAAAAGGGATCAAGGCGCTTTCTCACACTTGCAACTGTTGCGGCATCCCCATGATCACATGTTCAAAATTTGGATGCTTGGAAACTGGCATGTACTTACGACAGTTTCAGTGTCCCAAGGTCATGTGATTCCCTTTTGTGACTTCTGACAAGCAAAGTCAACGGGGAAAGCCAGATTCACTTAACAACCATGCTCCTAACTTAACAACTGCAATGATTCACTTAACAACTTTGGCAAGTAAGATTGTAAAAGGAGGCATAATTAACAATTGTCTCACTTAGCAACAGAATTATTTTGGGCTCCGTTGTGGTCCTAAGTCAAAGGCTACCTGTACAAACTGGTGTTTTCTAATTGTTTGGATTAGTCCAGGGGTAGGCCATCTTGGCTCTTTTATCACTCGTGGACTTCAACTCCCAGAATTCCTGAGCCAGCATAGCTGGCTGAGGAATTCTGGGAGTTGAAGTCCACGAGTCATAAAAGAGCCAAGGTTGTCTACTCCTGGATTAGTCCCTTGTTTGCTTTTGAGAGTGCTATGTAGTAGGCTACCTTCATGAATAAAACCCCAAGCTTTACGTCAATCCACTAGCAAAATTTCAGATCTCATTCAGTTCCCCACCTATTCACACTGTTCCTGATGCAGCATAGCAGAAAGGAACATATTTTACCTCTCTTCAGAGCCTCAGTCAGCCTAGCCCAGACTTACTGATCAGTGATGGTTCTTTAGCAGTTTCTCCAGCTCAGCTGGAAGAATTTTAAAAAACAGAAGTTTAAGAAGTTAAAGAAGAGCAGTAAAAATAAAGGGAGGGGGGAGCAGTGAATTCTGACTTTTTTTCAGTGCAGAACCCCCCCCCCAACCTCAACCTTTTATTATTTTACCTTTCTAAAAGTTTCAAGCCATTTCTGTAACGGCAAAGTCA